TATTAGCACGAATTGAAGCGCATCACAGAAAAAAGAGAATCAATCAATTTCATAAAATTATGAGAAGAATAAGGTATGGACTTCATTTATTGGCTGTACGGTTTTGTTTCTGCCTAGCTGGTGTGATGATCAGAGATAAATACTACTTTCCTGATCCTAAATATAAGACTCTCATACTAGTGTGTACAAGAGTCTTATATTTACGACCAGAGGAGTATTATTTAACATTCAATTTGTAGGGAAATGCTTTGGATGCTTATCCCGATATCATATCATCATCAGATATTAATGTTTCTTAAATGGCATTATTTGTTAGTTGAGAATATTAATATTTTTCCAACACCATGATAAAGTAAATTAGATCCTTTCCATTTGGAGAGGCTCCTTATTGAGAAGGCGTGGGTGAGGGCTTGCTGATGAGGTAAATTTCCTCAAGGGTGACCAGCTCTTAGCTTGGGAGCTGGATAGCTAAAGCAACAATTAAATACGACTTTATTGTGGTCACGGCACAAATAGCAAAATCCAGCCTTTTGAAAGACGTCAATATTTGGTCCCATCAAGCAACTTTGGTCACTGAGATTCAAACCTCTCATACAGTTTTATAAACAGCTGAAAGCTACGCTTTTATTAATGGCTAACTACCCGTTTATCTCTTATTTTTACTCCTTTTTTGAATCTCTACAGGTCGAATTGTTCAAACAAGATCAGAATCACTAGACGTAATTTACCAGGGTATATTTCATTTATTACTATTGACCCAAACGGACACCACATTAGGCCAACCTTGTCAAGTGTCATTGAGCTAATTCTACACTCTACCGTAGTCCACTCCACATCTTATCCTGGCAAGCGTGCCTTGAACTATCGTTTATCAACAGTACCGAGTGCTTTATAAATGGAACCAGACAAGAGTGGCTTGTGTCTTCTTTCAACAGATTAATCATTGCACGAGTTGCAACCAAAGTTTGTCACCTTAAGTTGGGTACCAAGGAACATCAGGACCCAGCACTACATGTGACAACCTTGATCACACGTCTCTCTCCTCAGCTTCTCTCGTTTGATTTAATGGCTTCGGTGACAAGGTATTTGAGCTTTCATCTCATGTAACATGGCATAAGAAATACCACTAAAACCATTTTAGTACATAGAAATTTGAGGAGTGGATTTGGAAAGAATAAGACTGACAGAGAAGGATCATAGAGGGAGGGAGGGAGGGGCGGAAGTTGAATAATAATTTGAACATTGCTGTGGTCGCCATCACTGGATTAAAGCATACTGATATGTGTCATGGTCACAAAAAAACTGAGGGCTATATTAAAGCATGCTGATATCCAAACACAGGGTATGAATAAAAGAGTGGAGTGGGTGAGCTGTAACATTTAAAAGGGTATCATGGTGGATGAGTGGGGCAAAATAAATGCAGCTTCGCCAAAAGGCATAGGAAGTGGCATATTCTCATAAACCAGCAACTTATAACCGTTCATCAATTTCAACTCAGAAACGAGAGAGGCTCTCTTCCCGTTTTTCCAGCATCTATAGGACTAACAGAATCTTTGAGATAAAGCGTAAATGTAAAGACAGTTGCAGTTGGACAAGAATTCAGCAGCCATTTCTCTCATGTGACGGGGGAGATTGACATGCATATTTTTCTCATCCATCAGACCTAATTTTGGGTCATCCCTCTGCATCATCCTTCAGATTCCAACAAGAAATTTTCGAATCCTCAATGGAAAGACATGTCATGTGAAAGTAGGATAAAAGAATAAGAAAATATTTATTTAATAGGGTGAACTTCCAAAAAAGACATTCTGCAGGGCGGTCAAATCTTCTCTGATCACGGGAAGGATCAAAGCACGCTCAAATTTAAGAAGTTGGCGAGATTCTTTCGAATTTGGACATGATTTATAGGTACAGCCATTCAAGTCCCATCTGCCACAGTGTATGTATCCAGGTTATCTAAAGTTTCTTGTACCTTATCAAATGCTTAAACAGTCCTGTAAATTGTACAAGATGATACAGTTATAAAACTTCGAAAGATTAGAGCACATAAAACTGTGTGGAAATTACGCAGACACCCGGGATGAAAAAATTTCACTCATGGTACAAGATGATAAGGTTATAAAACTTCGAAGGATTAGAGCACATAAAACTGTCTGGACATTACGCAGACAAGCGGGATGCAAAAATCTCACTCATGGGGTGAGAGAGGCTCGAACTCTCGACCTCAGGATAACTCAGAAGCTATGAGACCTACGCGCTAGCCAACTGCGCCACCACCCCGAGTGGTGGGGAACCTTAAAAGATTATCTATTTTTTGGTTATCGAGGAGAGGATTAAACTCCTCCGATGTCATCTGTATAGATGAGAGAAGGTCGGGAATGAAAAGCCCAAAATGTGATTGATATGGAATATCAGTACAGTAATGTTGAATGGCATTTTTGACGGGCAAAAGCATTTAAAATAAAAGAGTGAATGAATGTGTCGGTGGGTTCATGCTTCCCCCCACCACCAACTCCACATCTGTCCTCTGCTTTTGTTGGATCCAGTGGGTGGGACAGCTCATCACTACCCGCGTTTAAAAGCTGATTTGGTTCAATTATACTACAAGTGTGACATACTGAGTGAATTTTTTTTTTTTCCCCTTTCTAACTATTGTTAATATGCACTACATAAGTTATCCTCGCTATTTATCGCTATAGTTCATGGTACAAGTTACTACATAAACTGTATATATAAATACAAGGAAGCTTTTTTTAACATGAAATTTCAGGTTTAAACTAGCGCAAGTCAATTTTTCACTGCAGACGCAAACAAGTCGACAAATGAAGTTAGAGAAAAGAAAATAATGATTAATATGTGAGACCTAGGATAGATAGCCATGGGACATGGAGACCACTTGGATGAGTTAAAAAAAGCACTCGTCTATTGTGTGTAGAGAACCCCTAATATAAGTTAGAACTAGGTTCTCTTTACCAATATAAGAGGGAACTTCTCTTCGGTTTGGACTTTGATTGTCGAGATGAGGAAAAGGAACTGGAGTATACAGTTTCAATATACACCAAGAGATACCAACAAAGTTGCTGATAGGCTTGCGAAGGATGGCCTCAGTAGGGTACATAGTTTTGTTTTTATTGATACGGTCCCAGACTCGCTGAGGGCCCTTGTGCACCAAGATTATACGGGACTTCTATCCCCTCATGTGTAGTTTTTCTTTGTAATGGGCTAAGCCCTCCTCTTTACCAAAAAAAAAAGTTAGAACTAGGTTCCCTCGGGCAAGACTTGAATCCCAACATTAGTAGGCCCATTGACGTCCAACCTACAAACGTTCACACGATTTGGGGCCCATCTCGTGCTATTTCTCTAATTCCATAGCAGGCCGAATAACACAGATTTGGGCTTCTCAAGAATTCGTGCTCTCTGAACACCACGCCATAAATGGGCGGTGTTGGCGGCTTCTTTCCATACTTCGTGGACGGTTTTCGTATCGGTCGAGGTGGGGGGGCCTTCTTACGTTTTCACGGTTATTTAAAGTAGAAGCTGGGGAAGAAGAATACGAAGGAATGTGAACCAGTCAACAAATCTCAATCATGTTTGTTCGAAGGGAGGAGGGGATGCCCCACGTGCAGAGGACTTTATAGTAACAGTAAAGAAAGCAGAGGAAGAGAGAGGGAAGGGGGAGGGGTCCTCGTAGCTGGCAACCAGCATAGATAAGGACTACTTGCGGGGTGGATGAATTGTTGGGCTCAGCGTATATTTTTGCCAGCAAATAAGTCAGTAAACAAATCATGATCATTAAAGCCTGGGCTACCTCCTCCAGTCGCCCTTGCAAATTCACTCTCTCATCCTCTTCTCATTTCACTCTGGCCTTTCAATGCCATGAGATGAAGCAATTCTCGCAAGTACATATGCATTCACGTACATATTTTGTATTTAAGCATGCGGTTCTAAATGCATATTGTCCGGAAGCCAAAGCTATGCACAACCATCCCCCCCCCCCAAAAGCGTTATAGTACAGTTTCTTCTTTTCATGTACTTGGTTCAATGATGATCGGCGTTTATTTTACAAATTCGGCCGAAAGAATAGTTAAAGCGGGCCCATTCTTTTACAAATTAATACCTTTGCGTTTGTTTGATATAATGTGATGAAGATAATACCATTACACCAAAAAATATATATATAGAGGAGAATGAACACAACAAAGAGAACCAGGTAAAGAATAGCTGCGGGAGCAGAAGGCTGTATGTATATACCACTTTATGTTCTTGTTAAGAGTTACTCCCTCCGTTCCTTATTATAAGAGACGAATAACCGAATTACGTTGATCAAAAAAACAGTTAAAATTAGTTAAGAACAATTAATGTGTAAAAAGTATAATTTTTTTCCAAAAATGCCCTCATTAATAAGGAGAGAGAGCATGAGAGAGAACAATAGTAAATTCTTAAAAGAAAGAGAAGTGGAAAGGAGAGAGAGTGTGAGTTGGAGACAATAAATATGGGTAAAATAGGAAATCAACACAAAAAAGTAGAGACAACTTTTAAGTGTCTCTTATATTTAGGAACATGCTATAAGCATCAAATGTCTCTTATAATAAGGAACGGAGGGAGTAATTGACTAATTTAAGTAGATTATAAAAAATTAGTTAAATTGGTTATTTGTAATAAATAGATGCTGTCTTTTTTTAAAATATTTTTGTTAATCAAGTGTATTGACTAGAATAACTATTATTTCAAGGACTATCTTAAAAAAAATATATGAAAAATAATAAATATGAATTTTGTATTTAAAATCAAAATAAAAGTTAAATGAAGCTCTTATATCAAGAGGTAGTATGTATTAATGACTTTGGATTGAGACAATACCAGGCAGCTGTCACTCCATGCTACAAACACCAAAGCTTACCCCTACCTCACACATGCTCCATGCCTTTTCTTTTCTTCACTTCCTTTTTATACGTTCTGTTCCAAACAGCATGAGATGACAACACAACATCGACAGGGCCAGCAATTGAAGAGAAAGAAAGCCATTACTGCGTGTACTGGTAGAGCTCGAATGAATGATGCGATGGCCAATCACCCACACTACCGATCCCAGTTCGGCGACACCACATTAACCAAGGTGTTCGTGGGAGGACTAGCTTGGGAGACGCCCACTGAAGAATTGCATAGATACTTCGAGCAGTTCGGAGATATTCTTGAAGCCGTTATCATCAACGATAAGCATACTGGGAAGTCTAAAGGCTATGGATTCGTATATGCCTTTTACTCATCTCCTTTATTTTCTATGTCTTGAAGACCAATTCTCTGCTCATCATCTGATTGGTTGAAGTCTTATATTTTAATTACTGTTTATTTAATTTATATTATGTCGTCCAACGAGCAGGTCACTTTCCGTGATCCAGACTCAGCAAGAAAAGCTTGTGCGGATCCCAAACCGATGATACATGGTAGAAGAGCAAATTGCAATATTGCTTCTCTAGGACGGCCTCCGCCCCCACCTTCATCTCCTCGAGGTCTCTTCATTTTATACTTTACTATCATCATGTTTCAGTTATAGTTGTGGATTCTTCCATTGACGTTGAAGTTGCATAACAAGGTTGGCTACTGATAATGCAGGAACGAACTTATCGGTGCAAGATGGTGGCAAGGAAGGCACAGTACGAGAAAAGCCGGCCTACAATGGAGTTCCGGCAGCGGCAGCGCCACCTTCTCTGATGTACTCAGCAGCGTATAGGTGAGTGAATTAATTTGATTCATTAAGTGGCAGAGTAGTCGCAGGCAAACGACTGGTCCGTACTCCACACTACCACATGGATGTCACCTTCAAATTCACTATATACTAATATCATAATTATTTTTTAAACCCAGTTTCACCTTCATATCATACTACCACCTCCTGTATTTAATATAAGAGTTAGTGACTAATTCATTAAATAGACGTTGTCTTTTCTAAAATATCCTTACTAATCATATGTATTAGTTAGAACTACTATTTAATTAAACCTTTCACACGTGTAATTAGCTCCTTAATAGGATCAGAAGTAGTATAAAAGAATATTGCGTCAGTATATATAATTTTCATATATTCTTAGAGAAAAGTATTGATATATAATTAGTAATTCCATAATAATTGTAACTTAAAGAAGGCTGAGGACGCGGTTACCTCACATTGTAATGCATGCACGTGTAGATCGCAGTGGTCCTGTGTCAATTGACATATAATCTCAGGATCATATCTCTCGGCTATCTGTACTTTTTATTATCCGTACCAACAAAGTCATTTTCCTCCCAGCTATGGCACTGTCTGATGAGAATGTTTGGTAATTGAAGAGCTAAACAGGAGCTATAAAGAGAATTATATTAACACTCGAGTTTCAACTCTAATGTTCTTTTTTCTTTGGGGGGGGGTCAATTCATTCTCTCTTCATCAAGTAATTTACCTAAAGATGTAAAACAAAGTTTTTGCCAAATAATTACTGTGAATAAATGTAAATATTACCAGACGCGCCTCCTTTGACGTTCCTTTTTAAACTTCGTTTCACTTCATATGATGTGTACTACAAAAGGAAGTCCTCTACAAAGTAGCACGCTGGGTCACAATTATTGAAGCATAGGGACAAGCACGCTGCATCATATTAGCCATCCACTCAATTTGGGAACCCACCACAACCTGCAGCTTTACATCAATATTTAATGGCTACTTATCCTTACTGTTGTACAGATCCAACATTATATATATATATATTCTTCATTACACAAGTCAATTGAGTTATTTGCTTCTCTAAGCATGAATATTTCCTTTCACATTTTCTCGGTCAATGTTGCTTCACCTTGTGCAGCTATCCAACCTACACTACTGATTACGGGTATCACCAAGTAAGGATCTTTGTTATCTCCTGTTTATCTTATCAGCAACTTAAGTTTTCTAAGATATAAATTATCATCGATAACAAACGACAAATATACTAAGAAGATATATGGCATATATTGTGCACAGGTCATGTTGTCCAACCCACAAGTTCAACAGCCACGATACTATGAACAAGTCTATGGACAATCACATTCACATTACTATGGGTATTCTGTTCAAACACCAACGGCTACATTTTTCACTCCCCCCCGGGCAGATCGCTTCCCAGCTGGTGCCTCCTATCCGTACTACCCTACACCCATGCAAGGCTATTGTCCTCCTCTACACTTCCTTTCCCCTACTGGTACGTAGCTTTCTGTTCTCTTAATAATTTATTTTACCTTTTGATCAGTTAAATTCGCTTTCTTTATGTGCATGTACTCTCCCCACAAAACAAACGCAAGAACAGATATTGTGATGCATTTCACTGATATGGGGTTTGGCTGTGACATGTGGCTGTGGGGGTCACATGGGCAAGTAGCCCAGCCATGAACCATGAAACTTATAATGCATAATGGATCAGTGTGAAAAAATCATGATGGGAGGAAAGGGTCATCATAAAGCATAAAGTAAAAGAGCCTGCATGTGGTTTCAGTTTAGAAAATGGAGTGGTTAGTTCTTTATAGATGCAGTCAAAAGTGCTGCTATATTCATTCCCCCCCCCCCCCAAAAAAAAGCATACTAGACAGATATACATACTGCCACACTTCGATCTGTCAAATTTTAGACAAAAGTTGGCCTTTCAGCAATTACCAGTCTAATTCTTCGGGCTAAACTTTCTGTTATGCTACAAACTTTATTTCTTTTATGATTTGGATGGAGGCGAATGAGGCAATCAAGCAGAGTCAAGAAATGAAATACTATCTCGGGCACTTAATATAATATAAGAGTTAATTAATTAATTTGAGTAGATTAAAAAAATTAGTTAAGTTAGTTATTTGTAATAAATAAGTATTATTTTTTAAATTATCCTTATTAATCAAGTCAATTGGCTAAAACTATCATTGTTATACGGATTACCTTAGAAAAAAATAAATAAATATAAAAAATAAAATAGATTGGGGTCTTATATTTAGAATTAAAATAAAAGTCTAACGAGCTTTTATATTAAGGACCAAAAGTGGTATAATCTTGTATTTATCTAAGACAAGTTTAATGTTGTTGGCCCCACAGATTCTCGGACCCAGCAGTGAAGCTCCTTGGAGACAAAAGCTGGAGTAGTTATAACTTCAGAAAGTGCCAATGGCCGGGGGAAGAACTGATAAGATCAGATCACCCATATGCACATTATTATATCTTAATGTTTTCGGTCCAAAGATGTAGCCTTAGGCCTTAGCGCAATAAATAGCAGAGTCAATAAATGGCTCAGCAGATCATTACGCATATTTTCTACGGCTATGGGACTCAAAAAATGGACTAACTTGACTTCAGATTTCAGACAATCTTCGTTCTCTATTCCTATTCTCGCAAGTAATGTATGTTTTTTTACTAGTTAACTCCTTTTTCACATATTATGTAAAGACGTGACCTGATCTTAATGTGCATGCGCTATTGTTGCTAATTAACTCAATTTCCTCTTTTTCATTAATAACAACATACACTGATATATGCTTAATTCATCATCATAACCTGATTTTCTTCAAACATTATACTTTACTAACTAGTGATTTTGTACGAACAATGAAGCTTCAATGCTTCTGCCAAGATTTCTTATCGACGACTTCGCCTTTCAGGCCTCATGTTTAAACAAAGTTGAACCATTAGCAAAATTATAATGCCAGACCGAAAATAAGGCCACCGTGAACTACTGATTCCATAATATATCAGTGAACATTCACAACGAAGCAAAGGAGGCGCAAGTACACTGACCAAGAGTTGGTATGATAGAAGGAAATAGAAAAATAAATATCCAAATAAATTACATGTCACTGGATATATATGATTGTGGCGGCAATAATTTAAGTTTTCTCGGTTTGTAGAGGGAAGCAATGGTCAGGGTCTGGCCCAACGTCACATAGTCCAGTCCACGTCCACTGGGCATCGTTCGTCCAGCGAGGGTAACATATCCCACGGTAATGGTGATCCAAATAAGGTCTCGTAGTGTGCTATGCCTTCAGTTGTTGATTTCTAGTCTGTTCTCCACATCACTTGTTTTTCAGCGCACCAAGTGACACGATCTTGGTGTCTAATCAAGCTTAAAAGAAGCAGAGATGGCATGATCAATTATATTTCTCAGAGAAATATCTTATCGGACAGGAAATCTATTTTAGACTAATCCCGTTTTATATTGTCGATCAGAACTGTCTGAACTCACGCTCCCAGTCTCTCTTATATCGTCATCATAGCGGCAAGCATAACAGTGATCCTCAACTACTGAAGTATACGCAGCATCCAATCCCAAACAAGAGCAGTAGCAGTGACCAGTAACCAAGTTGAGATCAAAAGCAACCCCAATACTAATAAGGCTGCATTATTATTAGATAGACCATGACGGGAGCTTCGTCCTGATCTGTTATGAACCAATAGCCTTGTTGACAATTTCATGTGTTACGGCAGTAGTAATCGATATGAGCTCCGTTAGATTGGAAACTGTTGGTTCTGATGAAACCAAAATATTTGATAACTGATCATTTCAAGGTCTCCTCAAACTTAGCTTTTCGTCTTAGTTCCTCATGATGCCGGAACCAGCTGACTCGAGTATGGAACACCTTGTGCATTTGGGGGAGCGTTCTCGTGGTTGTTAAGAGAATCCGTCCTTAGGCTAGGGCCGCTTCTCTGACAACACGGTTAGTAGAGATGCAGACATTTGACTAGTGCTTGAGCGGTCCAGCATGCTACAACCAATAAGATAAACCCTTTGGGGCTCTTTCCTACACAAATGAAATTAACATGTTTAACACTAGGGTGAGACGAACCCACACAAGACCAGAAATTTAAATCACAACATATATGAAGGGAAAAAATCATAAATAATTATTTAAAAAAATTAAAAGAAAACACACACGGATTTTGACTAAACCCAGAAGTGAGTGGGCAGGAAGACTGGGCACAGTGGAGTAGGCAGAAGATGGGCGCGTTTACTGTGAGCTGGCCAGGTCATATGGGGCGGGAGGTGGTAAGTTTATTATCAGACATACCATACATACACTTAATGCGTACATATCCAGAGAAGAAGGCGGGGAATAGACTCATACATGGTATGCGCACCCATATTCCTTGGTAATAATTAGTGCAGCTGTTTGTTTATTTTGCAAAAGCGGATGGTAATGTAGGTAGGGGGGAGCCAGATATGGGTCATGCATGCTATGCAGGGTCGGCCCTTCAAAGATGTCCGGCCCCACCATGCTGTTTCCACCTCCATTCTGCATTTAAAATTTGATGTACGTACGCAATGGTAGTATTTAAATGAGCGTAGCTGTGTATGGGACAGAGGCGCCGCCATGACCATGCCTTGCCCACATATTTGAAGCAGCGCAATTACACACGCCCTTTGTTCTTAATAATCCCAATTGTGGACTCACCCTCTCTAAGATACACCCTTGTTTCTTCTATCTGCTTGACTCTAGACACGCTGCGTGCTCCCCTCCTTCATGCTCCTACTCCCCGCTGGATTCTCCAAACCCACGCTTTCTCTGCTTATTCATTTATACCTCTGAAATAATTATTTGCCATGTGTCATCTCCTCCCGCATACGACTTCACCCCGTCACAAATGCGGAGTAGCATAAAATTCGACGCTCTTTTGCCACCAACTTTTGAAGATTACACGAATCAAATTAATTACAAATTTAGGGACCCGTAATTCAACGGCATCACTTTTCATCGCTGACTTCGTTGTAATATGAGAATTAAAAATAGGGGACATGGAGTACTAGTAGCAAGTAGAATGATCTGAACTGCGCATAAACAACTTGGTAAATTACGGCTACGTCCAGCCTGGCTCTTTGGATTCGATCGATTCTGGCTAGTTGTATCGTAGCTGTGGCAAACAGGCAAGTTAATTGACTTATAAATCGCACGCGAGGATGGGTGCATCATTGACTCCAACGTCCCCTATGCTTCTTAGAAGGTTCCCATCAATCCTCATCCGTATACATACAGCGGCGACCCACAAATTAAGGAGCTCCAAAACATGGGCAGGCGCAGACTATTTTCCCTGGGTCTCCGTTGAAGCCCAAATGAAAAATGAGCAGCACTACTATTCATCATTCCCACCTAACATTCATAGCTACAGATTAGAGGATATAATGGAACTCAGCAGCCAACGCGCTCCGTGAGTTCCAGACACAATCCAATTATATATGAATCGTGTGTTTCAGTCAAAGCCCCAAGATTCCTAATACCAGTTGGAGTGGTTTCATTTGATTCTGAATTAATCAAGGCCTGTTTGTCTAAATCACTTGTAAGCATGTTCAAGACAATATTCTTCTCACATATTTAACTCGTATTATTTGTATACTTGCCTCGTATCTAAATCATAATTAGAAGGTTGCTCATAAGTTGGGTCTGAGTTGTGAAAAGTTTGAAGAAATAATTTACTGCTATTTTGTAAGGCTAAATTCGTGGGGCCAGGCAGAACTGCCACATATTATATTGTTCTCTGTGTCTGGGACTTGGAAACAAGGCAGTGTAAGTCCAGAGGTGAATGCACCATGAGAGGCGCTGTACTTGTCTTCTCTTGTTTACTACTACCGGGATGTTTGGCCATTGTACGCGGACGCCCCGCCCGCTTTTTTTAATGCTACGCCCTCCAATCCATTAATCAATTCATTATTTTAATACCCCATCGCCTCGTGAATCCGACTTCCCTTCAGATGGTGATTAACAAAATATTCTCTTGATCTTAGGTTTTGGATATATGGCAAAATATGTCATCAAACGCATAAATCTGTCACAGGGTTATAATTAATTTGACAGGTGCAACGCATCTGTCCATGACCCATCAAGTAATTTAGAGTCGGATTCTATGCTATGGCAACCAGTAACAGCCGTCCCGTTCTCCCCGCCAAAAATTCTAATACCACGGCATGAAGACTCTTGTATAGTCTGCGACAAGTAATTTATCATTATTATGCACGACAATCACTTTCATTCCCATATACATACTGTGATACTTTTGCTTGTTCCGTTGTAACTGGCGAGGATTTTATGATAAGGTGGATCAGCCCAAGTTCTTACGATATGTTCTCATATGTGTGCGCTTAAATTCATTGGCACTTGCAATTAAGACTTGGGACTTCACAGAATTTTTCCTCAAAGAAAGTGTTCACAAAATAAAGCAACTCATAAAGCCAAAGGGGGATGACAATGAGTCAAGGACCGAGATCTATTGACATAAATACTCGTTAGATTTCTGCCCCGGTTTTTGTCTCTCATTAATATGAGATTAGATTATGGATCCAAATAATCCAAGTACGTACGTGGGCTCAAACTGAACTGAAAAGTGATATTCGGTGTGCCCAGCCGTCCAGGTGGGAAAAGAATACTAATGAGCTGGAACGAAATCACGTGCCTGGGGTGGGGGGACAGACGAGGGGGGCGCGTGATATCACGTGCTTCCTCGGATACCCTTCTGAACCCCCCATTGGGTGACTGCCAGTTGGATACAATCCCTCTTCCCAATAAAATACACACCATCCAGACTGTCATCTCAACGTCTCTCCCTCTCTTTCCCGGCGTCCCCCCTACGCTTCCGCATTCTTCATTTAAAATTTCATTATATCCATCATTCAAAAAAAAAAAAAACTGATCTGAAAAAGAAAATTATTTTTATAATGAATTCAAAAAATTAAATTTAAATTTATTGTATTCCTGATTTGCAATGCGTTCATTATATTCTAGCCTCGGACGTGGTGGTCCCTGTTGGGAAGGGCATTGTGGAGAATGAATGCCTGGAAACATCCGAACTGGACATAAGCTGGAATGCTTTTTGTTTGGTAGCGACCACGAGGAAAAATCACCTCACTCATTCCCACAAAAGCTTGCCCTTTTTTCTTGTGTTGTAAGCCCACCTCCGCTTTTCAAAAATGCCACTCCCCAACTACTCCGCGCATTTTTATAATGGTTTGACTCTCACGCTCCTCCTCGAACTGTATTCACCCTTCACTGTTCAGAGCGTGCAATCCACCCCTCGATTCTTGACTTGGACTTCTTAGTCTCGCCACGAAAGCGTTTGAATAAAGAAACGCGCTAGATAGTACCATCTGGGGTCCCTCCTCAACTTTTCTTGCCTGGCAAGTCCTGGCTCGGAAATGCCCACAGCGTTAACCCATGTCCATTCACAATAGCCAGCAGCTAATTGTATATCACACTAAACCCAAACCAAAACCCCGCTTGTGCTGGCACCTATATATATAGGGCTCTTCCCTATCATCTCAATCCACACAAGTGAACTTTCGAGCTCTCTCCTCTTCCTCTTTCTTGCATCTTCTACAGCTCTGCCCCCGGAAAAAGAAAGAAGCCTATTGGCGACCCTCTGCTTTGGTTCTGTTCACAAAACAAAATGGCTGCCCTTGTTTCTTTTCAATGCTTCCTTAAAATCTTTCTGTTGATCTCAGTGCTTCAGCTCTCTCTCGCGTCCAGGAGGCTGAGTGAGCTGGCTCAGGATCAGTCCTCCCAGCTGCTCCATTACCACAATGGCCCTCTTCTCTCTGGCAAAATCTCTATCAATCTCATCTGGTATGGCCAATTCAAGCCTTCCCAGAAAGCCATAATCTCCGATTTCGTTGCCTCGTTGACATCTTCTTCGCCTGCTCAAACCTCCCAACCCTCCGTCGCCACATGGTGGAAAACAACCGAGAAATACTACCATCTCACCAGCAAGAAGGCTTCTGCTCTTTCCCTCTCTTGGGCCAGCAGATTCTGGACGACAACTACTCCTTGGGAAAATCGCTCACGAGCAAGCAGCTGGTGGAACTGGCCTCCAAGGGTGACCAGAAAAACGCCATCAATGTCGTCTTGACATCAGCTGATGTCGTCGTGGAAGGTTTCTGCATGAGCCGATGTGGGACTCACGGATCCTCATCTGTGGGACACGCGAAGGGCAAGAACTACAAGTTTGCTTACATCTGGGTTGGTAACTCGGAGACTCAGTGCCCTGGTCAGTGCGCTTGGCCTTTCCACCAGCCTATTTATGGTCCCCAGAGTCCGCCATTGGTTGCTCCCAACAACGACGTTGGCCTTGACGGAATGGTGATCAACCTGGCTAGCCTTTTGGCCGGCACCGCCACGAACCCGTTCGGAAATGGCTTCTTCCAGGGTCCCGCCGAGGCACCACTGGAAGCTGCTTCTGCTTGTCCCGGCGTTTATGGAAAAGGAGCTTACCCTGGGTACGCCGGAAACTTGTTGGTGGACCGTACTACTGGTGCGAGCTACAATGCTCATGGTGCTAATGGCAGGAAGTATCTCCTTCCTGCTCTGTTTGATCCTTCTACTTCCACTTGTTCTACGCTCGTGTGAAGATAGATGCGGATTAGCCATTGTAGCTGCGCGATTAGAAACACGGAATTAGTAGGCTGTATAAGCATATAATGTGTAGGATGTATTCATTCATTTGTTTATTTCTTTTTGTTGTGCCCATTGTTGATGATATATAAGCAAATTTGCTTCAGTTTGCTTCAATTCATTCTTCCGATCAGTGTTTCCCTGGAAATTCCTCATTCCTGTCTTCCGCTTATGCGCTTTGCTGAGTTTAACAGAATTTCCAAGCCCGCATAGTTCGTGAAAGATGCGATTTTTTCGAATGATTGAGATGAGAACTTGGGATAGATTAACCTATGTCTGCATTTGCAAATAGAAAACCGCCTGCGATCGCTAAGCGCGGAGTTTTCAAAAACCAGCAAGGAAAAACGACGGGTAATTCACAAAAAATCAAAGTAAAAAAAAAAAAAAAAAAGTCATGTTAGACTGTGTTAAAAGACATTTGAAGTTTTATTTTTAAAAGCAATTCTCATTTTATGACTAAAATTCATGCTTGATAGTTTAAATTAACATTTATAACTTGCTTTTGAAATACTAAAAGAACATTAAAAATCTAAATTGCCATGAATTTTGATTTTATGTAATTTAAATATCATTCCTCCTATGAATCAGGGTTAGACGAAATTAATGAACTCGATCCATCGACGCTACGTATATTCGATATTTTGCGAGTCAAAAACTCGAAACTAACAACTCAGCCGATCTTATTGGTTTGACATTGCTTCTTTTTTCATCGTCCGCTTTGCTCAACGCCCTTTGTCCGGATGAATGGCAATCATGGGCCCTCAGTGCCAAAATTCTAACCATAATTGGACACGTTTTCTTTGTTTTAAATTGCTTTACAGCTCGACAGCAATCATAATAAAAATGGGTAATTTGTTTTCATGCTGTACGACTCTAATAATCCAATAACAATTATTAATAATAATGACGCACTAAGATTCCGATGAGATTGTGCAACCGCAGACGATAGGAAACCATGATTCTCAAGCATTGCAAAAGAACAAAGATGCGCTGCCCGATTGGGGGCATTACCCAAGAATGCTGCTAAACCAGCTTTGGGTAATGGTGGCGGGACATGGACTCGATTAACAATATCAATCGAATTTGTCCGTATTAGCATCATCAACGTCCAGTTGTCCTAGTCGGGTATTGGGTTATCCTTAGCTGGCCATGTCCGCTCCATGAGGTCCCACCGAACCTTAAAATGGAGCCGATACAGATGGGCGCCAATGGGATAGATAAGAAGAGGAGTCATAATGCAGCCACCTCGTTGATTTACTGTGCCCTGCCTTCAATCCAATTGTGACGTTGTGTCTTTCGTGGACCCAATCCCCATTGTCCTTCTCCTTGCTCCCAGCGGCTACACATTTGCAGTAATGGATCATGTGGAAAGCAACCGCTGAGAGAGAAGCCTGTACTACCGCGTCAACTCGTGAATCAAGTAACTCCCAAGTGTGTTATGCATTGTGATATACTATGCCATACGCTATATATTTGGTATAAGATCTATTTTGATTTTTAATTTAATTTTAAATATAAGACTCTGATCTATTTTATTTTTTATATTTATCTTTTTTAAATTGTCCTTTTAGTAATTTTACATGTTAGAGATTTTATCAAGTGATGATTTTAGCTAATACCAATCCATCTCTTGTTATAAGATCCTTTTAACTAAATTGCGAGGTTTAAGAAAATAGTTAAAACTAGTTAAAAGCAATTAATATGTAGCAAATGTTATTTTTTTCAAATATACCCCTATATATAAATGAGTAGGTGTAAGAAAGTAATAGTAAGATAAATGAAGAAAGAGAAAGTATTAAATGGGTTATCAATAAAAAAAAAAGTATTAAATGCATTAAATTATGAGTAAAATGACTAATAATGTATTAACTGTTTAGACAAACTCAAAAGGAGTCTTACAAAAAGGGACAAACCTAGTCAAAAAATTGAATCTTGTAATAAGAGACGGAGGGAGTATACTTGATTAACAAAGATATTTTAGAGAAGATAAAACATATTTATCATAAACAACTAATTTAATTGATTTTCTTAATCTACTCAAATTAGTCTATTAGTTCTTATATTAAAAAACCAAGCTATAACATATAGTCTCTGGGATTTTGAGTTTTTTCATATATAAATAGTTCATATTCAAATTTTAAGTCATGGGATACGAGAGTTATTTTTAAATTCTTGTTCCTTTAAGAATTATTGGTTTTTGTTCGATAGTATTTATATTCATAGCTAGCCAGCGCCGGGTGCGTAATCCGCAGGACTAGGATAGACACGAAGCCTTTTAGTAACACGAGAGAGGGAATTAACTGACATGACATCTAACATGCAAATGACAAGCCACGCCAATGCTGAGGGGAAATAGTAGCATAATTTTTTTCTCTATAAAATGCAACAACAATGTTCTAAAAGGTAACAGTATTCTGAATTTTGATTTCAAAAATACATTATAAATTTGAAATCAGCAGTTCTCTGGCTTTGTTTTGCTTTTTTGGTGGGCGGGTGGTGGGGAGGTCGTTCGTTCGAGATTGGCCTGCCGAGATAAATCAATTTTGTCGTGTATATGCGCCTTAGCTGGCCATATACTGTGATGTCTTCATGACTCATAATTGTATCCCCGTTCCTAATAAATCACTGGCTCACGCGTCAACCAGCTGGTGCCTCCCTTGCCCTCCTTCATTCCTCTTTTGACTTCCCTCATACGCCTCCTTTCCTCCTTCCTTCCCATTTCCGCCCCCCAACCCTCCTCCTATATAAATCATTCTCTTCTCCTTACTCCCTCACAACCTCACCCACTCCGCTATCTCATCACAATGGCCTCGTCTCTTGTTCTCCAACTATTCCTCTTTGCTTCTCTCCTCCATTCCAGTTCTGCCTCCAGAACTCTCTCCCACTCATCATCCCAGAACTTCAAGTTCCAGTACCACAAAGGGCCGCTCCTTTCTGGCCCCATCTCTGTCCACCTCATCTGGTACGGTAAGTTCTCTCCTTCCCAGAGAGCCATCGTCTCCGATTTCATCACTTCCCTCTCCTCCTCCAATCCTTCCGCGACCCAACCCTCCGTCGCCGCCTGGTGGAAAACCATTCAGAAATTCTACAACCCCAAGGTCTCCCTCTCACTCGCTTCCCAAGTCCTCGACGACTCCTACTCCATGGGCAAATCTCTCACAACTCAGCAGGTTGCCAAGCTTGCATCCAAGGGTGGCCAGAAAGATGCCATCAACGTGGTTCTCACGGCTGCTGACGTCGCCGTCGACGGGTTCTGCTCCAGCCAGTGCGGCACTCACGGTACTTCGGTGGGCGCTCCTTTGCGCGGGAAGAAACACAAGACCGCTTACATCTGGGTCGGTAACTCGCAGACTCAGTGTCCTGGTCAATGCACGTGGCCATTCCACCAGCCTATTTATGGTCCTCAGAACCCACCCCTGGTTGCGCCCAACAACGATGTGGGACTCGATGGTATGGTGATCAACGTGGCGAGCCTGTTGGCCGGAACCGTCACCAACCCCTTTGGCAATGGTTTTTTTCAGGGACCAAAAGAGGCGCCACTGGAGGCGGCTTCAGCTTGCACCGGCGTCTATGGCAAAGGAGCCTACCCAGGCTACGCCGGGAACCTCTTGGTGGACTCAGTCACGGGCGCCAGCTATAACGCAAATGGGGTTAATAGCAGAAAATATCTGTTGCCTGCACTTTATGACCCCACCACCTCTTCTTGTTCTACGCTGGTATAACACGGGATGCATGCTGCAGAAGTTCAGATTGGTTACCGATGTTTTCGGCATTGAGAAATATTCTTTGATTCCTTCATTCTTTTTCCTGTGACATGGAATAAATATCTCATTTACGTATAATCAAGACAACTATATTTCTATCTATACGAGTCTATGCCTGTCCCTCCATCGTTATTGTCTTCTGCACCATTTCTTCCCTCCGCTGCGTGTCTCATCACTTTAACAAACAAGTAGTATCGTTTATGATTATTCTCTTGCAAAATGAAATTCATGACAAAGAAACGATAAGGGAATCAAGTAAGAGGGAAACCAGAAACTGAAATGAAGACTACGCGGACATACGTACAGGCAATGTTTTACATTTTAACCCGCACAAATTGAGATGGCCATCGGACTGTTGTTTCCTTTTGAGAAAGGAAAGACCGCGCAGAAGTAGAGAATAGAGATGAATGTTGGTCGCTGTTCTTTTCCAAATCAAGCGTAAAGCCAAATTTCTTGAACTGTTGTTTTTCCTGTTTTCAAGATTTTTATTTGATCAAATCGCAACCCATACTAATATTATCATGGGTCTCAATTTACAATTTTTTTAATTCCACGAAGTTTTTTTTGGGTGATTTTCTCTTTTTATTTTTGGGGGTACAGTCTCGCTTTCCAGATTTACTTGAGCGAAACCCGATCCATTGATGGCAAAAACGAAGAACCCGACCGGGAAAAAAAAAAAAAAACTCCCAATCTGAGCTCAAGTATTGGCTATCAACCTCTCCTTATCCACCGCCTTGCGGCATCAAGGAGTGGCTGATCAGAGGCACCACACCTTTTTAGACTATCACCATGTGATTGAAGAACCAGGACAATTTTTTTGGTTGCCATCTTCAGGACGCTGGGACTAGAAAAACAACACGTGTGAAACTAGAAGTAGCCGTGAACATGTGAACAAGACCCAGCTCCTAAATTTGTATGCAAAGGTTTGAAGGCTCCGAACCAATTGTCGATATGGGAGAGCATAGAAAGGCTTCGTTCCCAGGTTGTATCCGTGACGCATAAAGCCGCTTTGAATCCCGCGTAGGGTTTGACTAGTGTTGTCAGACTGAGATGCTCAACGATGACAACAAATTGAAAACTGCGGATGGCTTGCTCACCTTTGGCGTGACGATGAAACGGAGAAGCACGGTTATTTGGGAATGACTGGGGAGATTTCTTGGCTGATTGCCACATCTAGATTATACACTCTTACAAGGAAACACTGAAATGCACTATCGTCTTGTTTGGGGTTCATAGAATAGCCTTAAAATCACCCTGAGCTTGAAAGTAGTCCCAATAGGGCCGGAGTTAAGCCCTCCCAGTAAAACTGCCTAAAAACAGAGAGACGCCTACAGCAATCATTCCTCAGTGCCTCCAAGCTTTTTGGCATAAGCTCCGAGTAATCCCAGTTAAGAGGAATGATAAGTGCAATTCATTTTATTTAAAAAATAATTAATTTAGGGCTTGAATTCCTGTCAGTTAAGGTCAAGTTTAAAGGAAAAAGTCTATGGATCCGCACAAATATCCTGCCTGTGCACTTTCAGTTAATTGGGCCAAATAAACTAACGTAGGCCCAATAGTGCGATAATCGATTCAACGAAGCCCAACCCAAGTGTCAATGGCATATTCAGCCTGGCTTGATGCCAGCAGAGATAATAAATACTACTTTTAATCCTTAATATAAGAGTTAGTTAACTAATTTGAGTAGATTAAAAAATTAATTAAGTTAGTTATTTGTGACAAATAGATATTGTCTTTCTTAAAAAATCCTTGTTAATCAAATGTATTGGCTAGAATTATTATTATTACAAGAATTATATTGAGAAAAAAATGAACAAATGTGAAAGACAAAATAGATTAAATTCTTATATTTATAATCAAAATAAATGTCAAATGAGGTGTTATATTAAAAACCAGAGGTAACAATTGCGAGGAGTTAGAAGCCTGGAACGTTGGAGCAACACGACCTGCCACGGATGTGCATGTACCAAGCCGGTTGGGAATTAAAATAAAAAATACGATGACGTTGATTTGACAAGGCCTTATGCTTCCACACTCTTTAATATAAAATCTGTTTAACTAATTTGATTAGATTAAATAGGTTAGGTATGTTAGTTAACTATGATAAATATAACATGTTTTTATTTTTCTAAAATACTCTAATTATATTCATTATATTCTCACTCCCTCTCATATTTGATTATGGTTGAAGAAATATTAATAAAGTTGATTTGAAAAAAAAAAATTGATAGATATACGAAATAGATTTTATATTTAGGAAAGTCCTATATTAAGAATCTAAGGAGTATTTTAAAAGGATAAAAGAAGATACGCCTCTGATCCTTAATATAAAATCTAATTAATTTGGGTAAATAAAAGATGTTAATATGATATGTTTTCTTTAAAATACCCTAAACATTTTTTTTAATTTCCTTCCTCTATGATTATTAAAAAAATATCAATAGGATTAATTTAAAAATGAAACAATAAACATGTAAAATAAATCTTATATAAAATACCAGTATTAATTCTCTAATTAAATTTTACACTAAAGGCCTGAGGATTATCAGGAAAATAGAGGGAAGGGCGCCGAAAGTCTATGAATAAGAGCCCTAAAGACATTCTCCAATTTTGTAATTAATCTGATTAAGCAACAGAGTCTTTAGTTTCAACGATATTGTTACGGGCTACCGCTATTTTGGTAAGAGAGTGGGCTTTACCCTACAACGAATAGAGTGGGCCTGTTTTAAACGCAAATCCAGCCGAAAGGAAAACACGCAAATGAAAATGGTGCACACCTAGAGGATTTGGCTGGGGCTAATTAATTCCACGTAGATCATTTAATTTTATTAAAATTTGGGAGTAATTTTGTTCAGGACATATGAAAAAGAAGCCCTATTATTTACAGCATGTAGTCATTTCTTTTGTTTTTTTTAATCAAGAAAGTATCCCCAATCAATAACTAATCGTTTTTCAGGCGTAGGAGTCATACGAGTGGATTTTTCATTTCCTAATAAAGAATTTTTCATACACAACCAGGAATCGAATTCCCGATATCATGTTTGACTATATATAATGATTGCGTTAGATCTTGTTTGTTAACTCGTAGTACTAATTATTTCTGATCATCACGATTCATTATGGTTAGCAAAATATGGTTCATTGAGAATTTAGCTATAAATGCTACTCCTCCGGTCTTTAATATAAGACCCATTTAATTAATTTGATTAGATTAAGAAAGTTAGGTAAGTTAGTTAATTATAAGAAATATGACACATTTTTCCTAAAACATCACAATCATCTTTCTTAATATCTCATTTCCCTCTTTTACTTGATTATGGTTGAGAGAGTTTTTATAGGGATAATTTAGAGAAAATTGATAAATATGATAAATGGGTTTTATATTTAGGATCAAAACAACTCAAGAATTGAATCCTCTATTAAAGATCGGAGGAGTATTTGAATTTAGATGCACGCGTTAACTTTAGTAAGTCATGGGAAAAGATTGGGGGGGGGGGGGGGGGAATAGGGCCGTAGGGGGCATTGGCGACGGGTTTGGTAGAAGATACGTGTCGTGGAGAATGAGAGTTTTGAGTATAGGCAGGAGCTTAGCTGGACATCATATATGGAACATTAACGCATTGCTTTAACCACGTTAATATGATCGATGAAAGGAAATAAAATGCAGGACCACAATAATGCGCACTCCATTATTGCAGCGCCAAGCACTGAATAAAATAAAATAAGACAAAGGATATTTTAGTCATTTCGATCACCCAGAATCAACAATATAAGGGGTTTTCACTGCCTCAATCCCTGGCTCTGCTTAGCCATTTTCTGAGGATTTTGATATTGCGAAGCGTTTGTCCTGTTCTTTCACTCGAAGGAGAACCATCAGAGGAACCCGCAAAGCTCGGATTGAAAATCACGTTTCATCGTTTGCCTTCTTTGAGGAATATAATATCACCCACACGCTAAAATAATATCAATGCATGGCTGACGGAAAATACGAGACAGACGTAAAGATCACTACCTTAATTTAAGAACAACTTAAATATTGTAATTAATACATTACTTAATTTTAATAAATATGACATGGTCTCTCTGAAATATAAGGGGTAAAATAAATGAAAATTTATATCTAGGATTAAAATAACTCTTCAATTATATATTCCCAACATTTAACACCAGATCAACACCGTATATTCATATATTCTCCTTTTATTTTCGATAACAAAAAGGAATGACATATACTCCTGAGCACACATTTTTATTTACTCATCCATTTTAAATTTTACTGCCTATTTTCATGATGTAGGCTACACAGCAAGTCCTCAGTTACATATATTTTTCTTATTTCACGTGCAATTGAATTAATTATGTGGAGTCTTACCAAGCTAAATTGCAAAAATACTTGGACGAGCAAGGATTAATGGGAGAAAACTAAGGTAAAATATGTAATAAAACATCTAAACAAATAACCCAATTTGACTTCTTCCCCAGCTTGGACATCAGAGTGCCAAAAATAGCCTTAAGATGCCGAATTGACCAAAGCGACCTCCCTCAACAACCACCAAAACCGGACGGAGAGCAGATCCGCTTCATTTAAAAAAGGAAAAACGTGGCCACATTTCTGTCATCACAGCTGAATTTGTCAGATCTCCGCTTCCTCCGTGATATGGTGCTTCGTAGATCATAAATAAGATCTTTGGAACTGTCTGAGGATATCCACTCCTATCCAACATCACAACATACATCTGCAACAATGGCCGTGTCTACTTCCACTCCCTTACTTCCCTTGACTTCATCTTCTCTTGCTTCTTCTTCTTCCAAACACAACCCACCTTCCTTCCTCAACCACCGCAGGCATACTCCTTCCATTGTAGCCGTACATGCAGCCGAGCCTGCCAAGAAGCCTCAAGCCACTGCGACGACTTCTCCAACGTCGACAAGCACCGTCGGAGTGGGTCAGGGTAAATGGAGCCTGGAGAGCTGGAAATCGAAGAAGGCACTGCAGCTGCCGGAATACCCCAGCCAAGACGAACTGGAATCGGTGCTTAGGATCCTGGAGGGCTTCCCCCCTCTTGTGTTCGCCGGAGAAGCAAAAAGCTTGGAGGAAAGAC